CTGCCCCTCCCCTGGAACCAGACATAGACGTGAACTGTTCATCATCCTCCACAAGGGGGCAGTAGAGACCCACTTCTATTGCCGAGTCTCCATCTTTCACCTATCAATTGCTCCTACATTCCTGTGGAAAGGCTGCTGTACAAACATTACATGATCCGAGACTTGGGATCCTCACAGAACAAGATCAACACTGACCAGAAGAGCTCTGAACTACTTAGAAAGAGCCATACCGCCGCTCTATGTATGGGGATTTCACAAACATGTTTGCCCTTGATTATGTGGTCCCTGCTCAAGTAAATTCTTAAAACTGACAAGTACAACCTCCTGCCCCCATCTTTTAAGCCTACCTTGACCAGCTTCTTTCATGAACTGGGCCCATCTTTGGCTGTCAACTCCCAGGATCAAGAAGCAAAAAACGATGGCAATGAAAGGCTTCATCGTGCTGTAGGGCCAGGAAAACACAAAGATGAATGTGCCATTTTGTGGGATGGAGAATGCTTCTGCAATGCTGAGTTATCTTCCCTTGCACACCGGTAACAAACCCCACTGGATTTCATACATAAACCCACACACGTGCAAACAAAGATTATAGGTGAGGAGATTCCAGGGAGCTATCTCTCCGTTTCCATGTACTTCATTAGAACCCCACTGTCTGACGGCTTGCAAATGGACCTTTAGTATAAAGCATATTGCATTCCAATCATGCCAGCTGAAACCCAACCGTAAAGGAAGTTTCCAGAGGGCTACATGCGGGCTTTTTAACCGACGTAGATAGCTCCCTGCAGTGGAGCTATCTGTAGAAGGCTAATCACCCTTTCCTGAATTCACACAGATGCACACTACAAGTCCCATGCTGAAAGCACGATGACCAGTGAATTCTAACCATCTAGTGGATTCAGGAAAGAGACGGAAACATTAAACGCAACAAGCAAATGCTAGCGGGGGTCAGGGGAGGAGAATCTGCAAAGAGCAAATGTTGGAACGTTCTAGCAACTCACCTTGTGCTGTGAGCTCCTGCTGGGACCCCAGGTGAGTGGCCTCTGTCCCTTGCTGAGGAGATGTGGCTGGGGATATCTATATATACTGTTACTCCACTAATGGAACAATCCTTATTGGATCTCGCATAATCCAACTTGCCCATAACTTGTCTTTCAGAACATAACTTTTTCTTCTGCACGTCTTCTTTCCCCAGATTGTGCAATCTAGCCATTTTCAGAAATGTGGCAAGCTAGGGCTTTCTGAGTCTTCCCCATCCTGATTGGAAATAATCAGGATGAAGGCTTTACATCCATTTTCCTGGGAAGGGAAAGCAATAGTAGAAAGAGAAATATGAATGTGTAATAAATCATGGGGGCCAATCTAAAGGCTGAGCTAATGCCCTTTCAAAGCATAGTTCAGATTTAAGCTGGAGCCTTAGGGAACAGGAGGAAGGAAGGAAGGCAGAAGCAGGCATTTAGCACCCACAGGAATGGACTCAATGCTGGGAGAGGTCTTCTCCAGACTTGAGTATATTCCATATTGCTATGGAAGGTAAGAGAGTAGATTAAATTTAGAGACGTTGATGAACCAGGAACACTAAAGAATAGAACAATTTTCTTCAAAGTCATGAAGAAATGACACACCATAAACATGCATGAGAAAGGCCTCCAGATGCTAAATGTTTATCCTAACAGTGGGTTCAGACAGAAAGTGGCAAGCTGCAGCACAGGAATGCTGGAGAATGGCCTCAGGAAACAGCTACTGCAGCCAGAAAAGCAACTAGGCCTTGCTATGTGAGTTTATCTGATGAGGAAGCTATTCAGACCATGGTCTTCTCCCCCCCTTTGCTATCCCCACCCCTTTATGCAAAAGAAAAAAATTAAATGTATTGAGTTCCCTAGCGAAGGGATGGTGTAGCTGCGGCACGGTAGATGGTAGATGGGATGAAGACATCACATTTGTCCTTCTGTTCTAAGGGCCCTGGGATGGAAGCCCCAGAAAAGCAGTGGGGCTATAAAGAGCCACCCCCCCCGCCCCAGGAAGCGATAGCTCAGGGGTGTTTCCCAAACCGTTTGTTACAAGAAGAGAACTGTGGATATCTCATAAACAGGCTGATGTAGAAAAACCACATAAGCCAGAAGACGGTGAATAATAGCCGAGAAGAAGAAATAACAGCCTAGAAGAATGGGCACGTAGAACTTCCGGTTGTACTACACGGTGGTGTGGTGCTGTGGGAGACGTTGGTACAAGAGACACAGGATGAAGCAGATCAGGCAAGCGTGACATGTTGGAGGATTGTTGTTGTACATTAGAGCCTTGAAGAGAAATGCCTCTTCCTAGGTTTGGCCTTTATTTTAGTTATTTCAAGCTCTATGACTAAAATGAAAAAAAACTGTCCAGAGATTTTTGTCCCTTGGTCCTTAGCCAAGGTACTGCCCAGCCACATTTGGCTTAGGAAAGGGAGTCTTCAGTGGCTGGCTTGGCTCACATTGTCCTAGCAGTGAGCAGTGAGCAGCAGCTACAACTTCCCACAAGCCCTGGTTGCAAATCTCTTTGGGGAAGTGCTTCTCAGAGAACTGTGTATGAAACCTGCCACCTCTTCTAGTCTGACTTCCTTGGGATAAACGTTTGGAGCAGTGATTATGTGTTGATCCCCGCAGCCACTCTAGATTCAAAATTCACTTTCTGAGTATCCACTTTTTCAATGCCCCCTCCCCTCTTCCTCCCCTCCTCCCTTCCCCTTCCTCTCCCCCCTTCCCCTTCCCCTCCTCCCTTCCTCTTCCCCTCTTCCCTTCCCCTTCCCCTCCTCCCTTCCCCTTCCCCTCC